AGAGCTCTTTCTGTCAGCTTTGCTGCATGTCACGTTGCCATGGAAATTGAATCCAGATTTCCTCACAGAATCCTCTTTACACCCACTTCACAACACTTTCAGCCATGCATTGGGAACACCTCACAGAACTTGCAGCTCAGTCTCTCTACTCTCTAGTTCCCAACCCAACTACCGCAAAACTTATGTAAATTGGATACATAATCCTTTCCAGCCAAGGACCCAGTAGTAGCTAAGATGGTCACTCGATGTCACTCCGAATATAGACGTATAGGATTAAACCTACAATCACTGCAGGCTCTATCTGGTAAGGCTGGTGGACCTCAAGTGCACCCTGCTCTGGTCTTACCCCTCCAAAAATAAAATAAAGGTTACATAATATTTTTGGGTCTCTCACAATTCACACCTTAAAAACCTAACTCAATAGAATCCAAACAGTTTCTGGTAGGTTACTTGAGTCCAAATTTGGAAAGATCTGAGCACATTCATTAGTTTTCCACATCAAATACTTGGATATTGACCACATGACCTCTTCTGTTTCAACCACATGAATAATCAAGATGCACCTCTAGACTCTATTGGCTTTAAGGTGATATGCTAGCTTGTTGGAGGAACCTTACAAACTTAATAGCATCTAACCCTTATTATATTGTAGAGCTAAAAACTTTCAGAGATTATATATATCCAAGTTTCCATTCCTATAGCCAATATACTTCACCACTCAAGCTGAATACTTGAAAAAAAAAAAAAAGCTTCATGAGTCGGTCCTCATTTTAAGCTCTCAAATTGGGCACTATAAACAAAGCTCAGTAGTCTTTATTTACCATTTTAAGCTAAACCTGATATCTCACTTTCTGTTGCCTCCTCCAATGGTACTACTTGTACAAGTTGGATGAACAAAAGCCTCTATATCACAACATCATCATAAACTTTACTATTTAAACAGGAATAAGAATGATGAGTTTGTTTTTTATCTTGGTAAATCACTTTACTATGACATAAGAAAATCTGGTAAATCTTAGATGCACCATAGTTTTTCCTATTGTAACCCATCAATTGCATCTCAAAAGGAAATAAATCCACTGACCATACCACAGAGAGCCTGCAATTATGCGGATTTGATCCCACGCCTCCATATTTTGAGGATACCGAGTGACCAACTCAGCTACTGGGTCATCAGCTTCCACCTATAGCCTTCAGAAAGAAGGATCTTTACCCAATTTAGCAAAAACAAGGTGAAGCTCAAATGTGCCTTCTGTTGATATCTTAGTGCTAATAGTGATATTAACCTCTAATTATTAAATGGATAGAACTGTTAGCAGTTTAAAAAAAGTGCAAAAATAACTGGGGAATAATATATTAAATGGATATTTTAACAAATTATTGCACAAAGAGAAGTATGGAATCAGTTAGTAATATCACAAGCTATCATGGGAAAATGTATCATACCTAACACCTTGTTCCCAGACTAGGATGAGTCAAATACGATTCAGGCACACAGGCAGGTCTGTATTCTGCTATACATATTTCTTTTTTCTTTTAATGTAAATGCTCCATGAATTTAAATAAAATGCATTCTGCCTAATTCTGCAGAATTTAATGACACCCTAAACAAAAAAGAAAATCTTCACTCTGTAAAACACAGAATTGGAGACTTGATGCCCGGTAATTTCTAAATTCCACTCTTCTATAGGATAAACTCAACCTGAAAACTTGCAGAAAAGACCCCCTAAATTAATTCCAGTTCTGTTGCAATCAAAACAAGGCCTTAGAACAGACTCCAAACTAACTAAAACTTGTAAATATTTTAAAATTAGACACTTTCACATAATTAAATTTCTAAGAGTAAAACCACTTCAGAACCCAAATCCTACCAAAATAATATCTTAAAAATATACTCTAATTCAATTACTCATATAAACATCCCACAAATAGAAAATGCATCACATACTGATTTGTTGTATGTATAATGAACATAACTTTCTGGATTCGTATTCCATCATGTGGTTCTTGACAATATTAGATAGGTAATAAATTCACCTTTCTGATGACACCAAAAACCATGCCAAAGAAGCAAAATTTGAAACCCAAATTTAGGCAAAACGAGAGTTAAGTATAATAGCCTTATATTTTACTTCAGATTCAGGTTAAAGTGCTTATCTGCATTGTATCCCACATCAGATGTTAGGCTGAAAGGAAAATTTTGACCCAGCAGAATTCTTGCTCCATTGGGAATTGGGATCAATTAGGTGTGGTGTGGATGGTGCTTTGAAAGATCATCTGGGTGAGATTACATTGGTATATTCTGATACCATGGTATATGGCAACTGCTTAAGGGCAAAGGTTGTGTTCTCTTTATGTAGTCTGCAGTTATGTACTCACATGGTTTACTCGAGTGGAGGTTGGGGAAGACTTTAGCTTGTGGGTCTGACATAACAAAGAAAATCCTAGCAACCCCTACATAACCCACAGCTACCCCCTCTACCACTATTGAGAAGTATATGGTCTCTTTAGCCATAGCCCCTTGAGAAAAATTCGATGCATGCCAAGACAATTTTTTCCTACAACATAACAAAATTTTCCTCAGGTCCCCATAAGCATACATAATATAGAAATGGTTAATCCAAACCTTTATCATTTAAGGAATAAATTGGAAATTTCTTAGCTTATTTTCTGAAGGATCACTTCGATTAAATTGCGATATAAATAGACTGAACACAATACTAATATATTGTACATGCTTTCATGTATTAATCCAATTATAAGTTCATGTTTGCGGGAAAGGACAGAAAGGAACAAACCATAATGATTTTGCATTTTGTAATTACAGATGGCTTTATGTTTACCAACAAAAAGAGAAACAAAAATTACTATATGATAGTAGAGTTTAGTATGCCCCAAGTTGTAGTGAAGAGGATTGAGAAGATTATGAGGGACTTTTTATGAGAACTTGGGGTGGAAAAAAATGACCATTTAGTAAGGTGGGAAATGGTGAGTAGTAAAAAGGAATGTGGTGGCCTGGGTCTAAGAAGATTGAAGGAAAAGAATCCATCTCTACTAGGTAGATGACTGGAGATTCCTGAGTGAAACAAATAAATTGTGGCATAAGGTGGCATTGTGGTAGCAAGCATTCATGGGCACTTTGAAAATGGTTGGAATTCTGGAATTTCTAACAAAGCATCTTGTGCTTCGCCGTGGAAAGCTATCTATAAGGTCCTCCCACTTTTCCTCAGTTACATCAAGTTTGATCTCAACTCAGCTAATAAAATTAAGTTTTAGGAAGACTTGTGGGTGGGTGAAATTCCTCTAAAGGATTTATTTCCTTTCTCGTAGGCCCTTTCTTCCTTTAGGCCACGTTTGGTTTGAAGGAAAAGGTAGGGAAAGGAAGGGAAAGATAGGGAACCCTATACAAGGTTTGTAAAGGGTTCCCTATCTATCTTTCCCTTCATTTTCCTTCAAACCAAACATAACCTTAGAGGAAGACCAGTTTCTGAGTTCTTAATCCCCTCTCCCTTGCTTTCTAGGTGTGGGTGGAATTTGGGTCTTCATAGGAACGTGAGAGATACAAAATTGGGCCCATATCAAACCTTCTACATAACCATGAAAGGGCCTTCCTTGATACCAACAAAAGGGACAATCATTTGTGGACTAGTCATCCTTCCGAGGTCTTTAGTTGTGCTTTTTTCTTCAAGTCTTTGTCTTCTTTTACCCAATCCTTGTTGACATTTCCAGTTAAAGAAGTTTGGAGTGGGCCTATTCCCCCTAAAATTGGTACTTTTTGTTGGAAGGTTTACCATGGTGCTATTAACACCCATGATTTACTTCAAAGAAAGAAACCAGGCTGATACCTCTCCCCAAATTGGTATATTTTGTATGAACCAAATGGTGAAACTACCTATCATCTTCTAATCTCTTGCCCCTTTACTGGTATTTGGGCTTGGTTTTTCTCACTCTTTAGTTGCATATGGAATACTCCAAGTAGTTTGGACAGGTTGTTTGACTCTTCTACATTTATGTGGCAAAAGAGAAGGGGGAGGATACTTTGGAGATTTACGAAGGCAGTGATTTTTGGGATGCAAAAAGCAATGGAGCTAGAGGTAAGAAAACTGGTAATTGAAGATGATTCCAAGTTAATTATCAACTGGATGAAACAAGAGAAGGGCCTTTGGCATTTCAGGAATGAGATAAAAAGTATAGAAAGGCTTTCAAGAGCGATGATGGCAACTTTTTCATGGACTCCAAGGTTGACTAATGGCTTTGCAGATCAATTAGCTAAGCAAGGAGTAAGCAGGAAGCAGTGTTTTTGAGCTCAGTTGTAATGTAAAGAAATTAAAGTTCTCTGTTATACTGTCTCCAGCTCTTTGGATTCCCTCCGAAGGGACAGTAGTTGAAGTTCAATGTTGATGTTGCTTTTTGTGATCCCCAGCATTCTGCTTTTGGAGTTGTAGCTAGAGATTCCAGGGGTTTGTGTGTTGCTGTGTCTCATGGTCCAGCTAAAGCTATAGCTGTGTTGGAAGCTATAAAATTGGCAGAGTTTAAACATTGAATCATTTGCTATGGAAAGTGATTGTGAGAAATTATTTCAGTCTCTTGCCTTAAAAGCCTCGGGCTACACAAAGTAGATTTACTTCCGTTAAAAGATATTACTCTCTTATGCAGGAACCTGTTTCTGTCTTCTCTTTGGGTTAGAAGAGAAGCTAACAGAGATGCTCACTTTACTGCCCAAAGTGGTTTGAAGATCTCGGCTGTGTTGTTTGTTACTGATCCTTGGTGGCTTCATCCTGTGCTCGAAGCAGATCGTTCTCCTGGTGCTTTGGGAGATGCTACCTAGTTGTTTTTTTTTGGCTTTTTCAGTAGTGGGTAGTTTGTTTGTAGTAAGTAGGGTTTTTTTTCAGTAATGAATCTTCTTTCCACCAAAAACACAAAAAAAATAGCTTATTTGAGGGGTAGCCGAGGCTACCCAGGAATTGTATATGTTTTTGATCCAATGAAATATCTGTGGCTGATTGGAAAAAAAATTTGAACAATTTCATTAATGCACATTTTTAGGGTAAACATAACCATGCTTAATGCTTTATTCATTAGGAACACATTGATTGAGCTAGTAAGTACTAAGTAGTAAGAACACCCGCTTATCGAGCCATATGCTCTGGCCATCATAGAAAAGCACTAACTAGTAACTACAACATTTGGATATGCAATTAGGCGGGCTTTGGCTCCTTCATCCCCCTTCTAATAACCATTGGCCACTGAATCATTACAACATGTGCCACCACTCTCATCAGTAGTGTTGTCATCCCCGACTTTCTTGGCATAAAATCTCCGGTACAACTTGTCCACCTCTATGAGATAATAGGTGCCTGGAGATAGAAGACTCCTGTCTTTTGCCGTCACAAAGTCCTTGCCCCCGTAACGATGCTCCATTAGCTTCAAGGTTTCCACAAATTTCTCAGGAGAAAACTGCACGGAAAAGGAAAAAAATAATAAGAAACAGGAAATGCCTAGCAGAACTGTTTTTCATAGACAACAAACATACATAGAAACTATGCAGTACTGACATGTATTGTGTCAGCTCATGCTCCTCAAAAGCAAGAGACCATCTCATATTTTCCTTTCCTCGTTTATGTTAACTTTGCATCCAGCGATTAAATTCTTACCAAAATGAGGGAAAGTCTCAGCTTGCAACACTAATTCCAACAACTCAACCCAATTCACGCAATAATACTTCCAAACCAGAATTTATTGGCAGCAGATCTTAAGAACCATATCGCCTTTGCATCAAAGATAGGCAACTTGGTAAAAGATTTCGGGGAATGAAGACTGAAATGCACAAGCTTCCTCATTTCAATAGGAGATCTCGAGCTAACAAACCATGAAACGCAATACAGAACTTGAAACACAAACCAAATAGATCCCCATTTCCACAAGAGATGAGGTCAAAAAAAAAAAGAGGGTACCTATCTAAGTCTAGTAGTGAGTTGGGGTTCAAATCTGAAAAACGGTCATTAGAACTGTCTGTTCAACCAACTAGCACAAATTCAAGTTCAAGCTTCACCATTACCATTCTTTGGTAATGGTACAGAGACAAAGAAAAAAAAACTTGTATGCTATCTCAGGCTGAAATTCATCTTGTTGTACTTCTAAGCTTTTTCCTAATTTTAAGTTTTAATAACATATTTTAAGAAAAGAAAGAAAACAGTTTTGGTTTACTTTTTTATTGACAATAAATACTATGAAGGAAAGAATTACTCAGATTAGGGAACTAGAAGACGTGTCCCCTATTCAGAGATTTTGCTTAACAATCAACATTATAGTAACAGAGGGAGACAGCGTCAGAGGTCCTTCCCCAGACCCCAGATTTACGGGAGCCTCATGCACTGGGCTGCCCTTTTAATTATCTGTCACAAGCTGAGGCGCACAAAACTCCAGACTAGATAATAACCTTGAGGCTAAAAATCATCTCCAACAAATGATGAACAAAAGAATACCTCATGTCTTGACTTTAATTTTGCAGGGATATTCATTACTGCTGCAATGTTTGACAAGCTAAATGGATGTTCACCACTATGAAGACGGAATGAGAACATTGTGGAAGTTAGACCACTCCCATATGAGAACATTACTACCCGATTACCATCCTGCAAGAAATAAAACAAAATTTGAAGTTACAAAAAAAAAAAAAAAAAAAAAACATTGAATTTGAAGAAGCCATGTCATTGCCTGAAAATTTTTAATTTTACCAGTGTGCTGTGCTTGTTATGAACAAGGGATGCAAATGCTGCATAAAGGGATGCTGTGTACATGTTGCCAACTTGTTTTGGCAATAAAGTAGTCGGTTGCACCTTTGCATCATATAGGTTCTTTGCAACTTGTTGGGATGCCTGTAGATGAACAAATATACAGAAATTATAATTGAGTAATATTATCAAATATCAACTCAGAGCAACCATATCACTGTAAATTACAAATTGCAATAACATCCAATATCAAGACACCAGAGCAACCTTTTCAAGATCCCGGCTTTGATAGCTCTCGTCACAAGATAAAGATGAAAATGGTGCCAGTTTTTCTTTTGCAACCTCCTCAACAGAACTGACGAATAAAATAAGATGCAACATATAATAAGACATTTAATAAAGATACAAAAAAGACAGTCACAAATAATAAAATCTAAAACCAGAGAAACAAAAGGTTGCTCAAGAAAAAGTGGAAGATAAAAACCTGGCATTCCTCAAGAAGTCATTGAAGTATAATCTAGCAAAGCTTTTTTGAACAAGCTGCAGTACCAGTTTAAGAAATAAATTAAATAAAACTATTAAGCATTTAAGAATTTTAACCGCTAAGTCCACAGTAGATAGTTTTTTTTTTATTCCAAATGCATAAAATGCAGTACCTTGTTGTAGGGAGAATGAAACACAAAGTAGTCTGCATCAGACATTGAAAATGGCTTCCCTTCCAACTTCTCATATCTATAGAAAGATGGACAAGAAGTCCAATAGAAATAATAATCACCAAAAGCCAAAGCAAAAAAAAGGAAGTACTATCATTATTGGTCAACTTACCTGTTAGAGAAATGTTTATAGCAAGCATCAAGTGCCATAAGATAGCAAGTTTGTGAAAGCTTCCCATCAACAACCTACATACACAAATTGCATATTAAAACAACCAGCTATAATTGGTAATGACCACTTATAACTAATTTGGTGTTACATTAGTGAGCAACATGTATTAATTACCAAGTGCCTTGAGATAGAAAATTTTACATTTGAACATTCCACCTTGTTTATTAGGTGTTACATAAGAGAACCTTGTTTATTTGACAACACAACCACTGCCTTGTTTTTGAAATGTATTTCTTTGGCTTCATTAGCAATGTGTATGAAATCAGCATAGTATACAATGATCTACATTCACATAAGAGCCACCTTTATGCAAGTATGCAAATAAAGGTCTAAAATGACACTAGACTCAACCTGGTAGCCCATTAGATATCATCGTTGTTTATTTTGTTTTCTATAGATTGAATAGATTGCACAACTCCATATAAAAGCAGAACAATCAGAAAAGCATGTGGGTATAAAAGTAGCTTCAAATCATTTAATATAATAAGTCCATGGAATACATGTTTGTAATCAAATTAGTAATATGGGACATTGCTTGGCACAATGGTAAGTGTGAGAATGTACATTCAAGCCTGGAATGCGGAATGTTAGGTCCATATCCAGTCCATCCCTCCCAAGACCCTAGATTTCCATCATTGGGTAATGGCCCTTTTAAAATAAGTAGTAATATTTGAAATAGGTTGGTAGGTTCAGATGAAGACAAACTAACAGTACAATAAAAAAAAATGAACCTTATTTCCTAGAATCTCAAACTGTAGAACGGGGCCCACAAATTAAAGGAATGAAAAAGACCAGAAGCAGTTGCTTTGCAAGAAGAAAATCTATTAGCACAGAAACATACAAAAGTGATCTAACCAGGGTTACAAGCACTGACAATGGCCATGGATATCTATAAAATAAAAGAAAGATTAGAAGAGCTACCGGATATTCACTTGCAAGGTTGGGCTTATAGAAATCATAGACATGAGACATATGGCTCCCTCTATATTTGCTTTCAAATGCAATTGGAGCATTTGGCCCTATTAGCATGGCAATGGCAGCAGCACCTCCAGTAGGCCGGGCTGGTCCTTCTGCATAGACCTGTAAGAAGGAAGATCCTAGTAAGCAAACCGAACATCCTAACGTTAAACAAAATAGCAAGTTTCATATGTTCTAATCTGTGTTTATCCATGCATGCATCTGAGAAACGAACAGCATGTAACAAGAACTGCAAGAAAAAAGCATAGGGAACACTTTTTTTATCAGCAACATGACAGATTTTATTGATGAGATAAATAATGCACAGTAACAATACATTACCCAAAACAAAGCTTTTATGGAGCTAGTCTCTTGCCTAAGCACAGGAAACACGTTAACATATAGACAGAGGAAATCATGCCGTGGGTGTCTGACAACATATACAGGGGATACTTTTAAGGGTGTTGAGTTGCATTAAGATTTTTCTGGCCTCAAATTTGCAAGAAATTCATAAACTTCAATGAATTTTTTGCATATTTGATAACAGCTGAAGTTGCTAAACTGAAAGACTTATCTCTTTGTCTTTTAGTTGTTAAACTAAGTAAATAGTAAAATTTCCAAGGATATAGTGGTCTACTCAACTTCATTTTCAGCCATTAAGGAGCTCACAACCTCCTTAAAGTCTGATTCACTAAAAGACAAAGCAATAAGTTTTTCAGTTCAGCATTTTTAGCTGTTATCAGTATTCAAATGCCCCTTACCTATCATGAAACTTATTTTTATTAATAAAGATATTCTTTAGATTCATGAATGACCGACCATACCTGTCACTAAAAAAAGATGATAAAACACAATAACATATTAAAAAAATGAGTGCAATATGGTTTTCTACTGGTCGATTGAAAGGTAAATCAATGAAATGCCAAGAGATAAGGTTCCAGATTCAACACAAGTATCATTTTAGTTTTACTTTTTCACATGAGCACATTAAAGTGTATCAAGTAGGGATGCAATTTGGGCAGTCTCAACCAGAAACAGTCCCGACCCAAGCTTTTCCATGGATTGTACTTGGATTTTGTGGGCCCTGGACTGGGTCTAGGCCTTAAAATTTGTACTCCTCAATTTAGGTTGGGCTTGGTTTGAGGCCTGAAAACTTGTATGCATTTCTCTTTTATTTCTGAAGTGAACTATATAGGGCTGCAACTTCAGTGAACCTAATCCAAGCCTGACCCTACACAAGTACCCCACTCAAAGTTCTGCAAAGGTTGGGCCTAGCTTGAGACCTTGGGTAGCCCAAATCCATACCAGGCCCAAACCAATCCAATCAAAACCTGCCCAACCTTCTCTAATGTATTTGTATGTGCATTGAATAATTTAAGAAATGCATGTGTATACAATAACTCGCAATATTTATGTACACAATAAAGTACACTCCAAAGCCTGTTGGATTTAGCTCGTGTTGAGCTTGAGCTGGCCAGCCCGGGCCTTGATTTTGCATAGGCCAGGCCAGGCCTAGCTTGAGGTTCAGACCTTGTGTTGGGACCATGGTTCTAAATATCGATACAGGCCAATATGCCGGTAGGGTGTATCAGATTGTATCGGTGCTTTTTTATGTTATATATTTTTTTTCAAAACTGTTTCAGAGGGGTCAGTTTAAGTCCCGGCTACCCTCTGAACCATGGCCTGACCCGATACACCCCCTGTAGGGGCGTATCAGGAAGGCCCCGGTATGATACGTATCGGCCGAACATAACAATATTTTGAACCTTGATTGGGACAAGTTGCACCTCTAAGACTAGTAGACTACAAACCCAAAGAAAAAGTGGAAGTGCAAAACATAGGCAAGAAGATCTTTAAATCCAACCAACCTGAGTAGGTCAGTCCCAACCTAGACCAAGTTATGTTGGATTTAACTTGTTCCGGGCTTGAGCTGGCTAACTTGGGCTTGGGTTTGGGCCCAGGCCCACTGTCCATGTCTTATGGCTGAGCCTGGATTGGCACTAAACCCTACCCAATCCACACACGTTGCACATCAAAGTATCAGGCAACTAAATGATACCTTTCCGGATTAAGTGTCAACTAGCAAGCAACTTAACTTGCCATATGATTGACCATTTATCTCAAAATTCAGTTAGCACATAGTAACCACTCACTACAAGTCAATAGTTTAAGTATTTTGGCTCATGCATGGAAGTTAAATATAAGAAAGATATGCATAAGCCAATTGACTAAATATATTGGAAAAATACTTACTGAGTAGAGAACAAAAGAAGTATCATATTAGTTAAACTGACAAGTTTGAAGTCATACTTGTTAGAATAAAAATCTTGATAGTGACTGCCAATATAAGGGAAACAAAAAACGTCTACAGAGAAGAATCATACCGCACTGTCTGTGCAGACAACAAGTCCATAGCGACCATCCCAAGAACTACTCTCTACCCAATTCACACAGTTGAACAAAGCTGCAGTCCCCCCATAGCATGCATTTGTTGAATCAACTCCTTCAATATCAGTATTACCATATTTCTGTTTTTTACACAGATAATGTGAGAAGGAGAAAGTTGAGAAATTGCAGGAAAAAGTATTTGTATTCAATGGAATTGATAGAATACCTCAAAGATTTGCATCAAGAAGGTCTTAATGGACTTGCTTTTGTCTATCACAGTCTCACTGCCAACTTCTAAACGACCAATTTGTGTTGGATCAATCCCATATTTTTCAAAGAGGGAAGTTACAGCTGTCAAACTGAAAAAGCATAGAATTTGAGAAAAAAATACCTAAGAAAAACTTGACAAGCTTTGCAATTACAAGGCTCTATACAACAGTAACATTGGTAGAATAAATGCCAAGACCATCTGTCCTAATCAGAACCTTTGGAATAGACAATACCAAAGCTCTAAACAATCATTAAAATTCATATTGTTAATTTAGAACAAACCTGCAGCAAGAAAAATAGCTAAGGTAGAAAACGTCACTCTTATAAAAACAATAGCCGGACAATGTACATGCATTCATGTCCTTTAATTACCACATAAATGCTTTCAGATGTTCAGCAATCAAGGCTCCTTTTATGCATCCTTCAGTCCAGTATTCCCAAGGATAAGTACATATAAAATGTTATTCATATAAGAGAAGGGAGTTTGTGCCAATTTAGATTGCAGTTGGTAACACTTCAAAGAAGTGCTTCCACTTTTTTTTGTTCCCAAATGGCAGACAAGAGAAACCTCACTGAAACATACCAACACCTTAGCCACATGAGTTCAGAAATTAATGATGTAGCTCTCTTGCTAGTTGCTACTTCTATTAAAGCACTTTAGAATAAAACTTCATATTTAAAAATACAAGGACCATTAGGGGTATAGAATTAAAAGTTGGAAGTGATCTTGATTCATATCAATCATCAAGCTTCTCGTGAAAGGTAATAGTATATGACAAACCAAGGGAACTGTACCAAACATTTGGAAATGATCTTGTACTCATGTCAATCAATACTTGAAAAATGTAGAGATGTTGATTAAGATTAAATGTCGCATGCCCTGCTAAGCTCATAAGCTTATCCTTCTAATAAACAATAACAATGATAAATCCAGAAGTCCAACTAGTCAACTGAAGATAAAAGGAACAACTTCTACTACAACTGGGATATAAGTAATAGTATGGAATCAAAAAAAGAGTGAAGACCTCATTGAAATGACATCTTCTGATTCTGTACAAAATGCCATGCAATCTTGACCAAGTCCAATGGTGTATTTTCCTTTACTTGCACCATCATGAGCCTCCAAAGCTTCCTATTAGAAGGATAAATTGAAGGGCAATATTAATTGAATTATTTAGTTTCAAATAAGACCATATGTAGCAAAGAACATTAACAAGAACATGACAAACTAGACATTATTTATTATAAGAACATGAGGGACTTGCAAAAAGGAATAGGGGAGAGCAAACGGAACTAAACAAGAAAATATGTATTAAGCAGTTTTTTTGTGCCAAAGAAATACCCCTAATCTTTTTCAACAAAAAGTTAGACAGAGATAATAGAAAATGAAAATATTTTTCTACATTGAAGCTTCTAAACAAACAGAACAAGTAAATAAACCTAAGAAATTTAAATAGAAAGTCAGGTGAATGACCCTGTACATTCAGAACAAAAGAATCCAATCAAACAGAACTTAGTTATTAATGATTTGCTTCTAGCCGAAGCCTCATGACATCTATCCGATGTACTCAGATGTCTCTTTCTTGTATGCAACAGTCTTAATAGAGGAATAAACAGAAAAAAACGCCAACGGTAGGTGAATTCTCACAAGTTGGTTATAAGCCCCCATCTAAATACTTTCGCTTCAGTGAAGGATATTCTTAAAAAATAAATTAATTAATTAATTAATTAATTAAAATTGAACATCACACAGTGCACGTAAATAATCTAAGAAGTTCAATTAAAAAAATCCGAGCTACAATGAAGTGGTGAAAAGGACCCTGTAAATTTAGAATAAAATATTTTAAATAACCATAACTTAAGTCATAAATGGTTTTTTGCCTAGTCAAATCCTCATGACATCTATCCTATGTACTCGTTACATGTTTTATGCAACATTCATAATAGAAGAAGAAACAGGATGAATTCTCATATGCTGGTTATAAACCCCCACCAAAATGCTTCGGCATAAGTGAAGGATAATCTTGAGAGGAAAAAATGGACATATCAGAGTGCATTTCCAAACTGAATTTAAACCGATCTGCCTGGCATCAAGGATTCTCGGACATCTGATCGGGAGCAGATTTAAATTCCTAAATTCTCTGTTTCTAGATGCCAAGAACAGATAAGAAACAGTTAAAGACATGCAAACAGTACAAAACATTCCATCACATTTTAGACTTGTGAAGATCAAAGCTGAAAGAGCTTTTTCATCTGAATGTCCAAAGTTACCATGCAACCATAACCCCAAGTTAAAGCTAACTGGACGAAGCATCATAGCTTCAAGTCAACAAATTTAAACATCACTCTCTTTCAACTCAGCACTGCATTTCACCAACCCTGAACCCCGATAAAAATGCGTTCATTAAATTGCAGAGGAAAATACTTCCAAATCAAAACATCAGTTTATCCCTTAAGAGTACATTTAGAGAAGGAAGGATAAATCAAAGCAAACCAGATATTTCACATCAACTTAAACCTAAAAATTAGAAGAAGAAGAAGTAACAGTAGTAGTAGTAGTGGTGGTGGTAGTAGTAGTAGTAGTAGAAGAAGAAGAAGAAGTTCATGGCATGCAGAAGAAGTCAGTCAGAAAAGGGGAAACAAGAAAAAGGATGAGATCTTCACCTGCTGAACGCACGTAGGAGGGAAGTAGATTTCCATGGCCAGAATCCCGACATTTTTCTGCTGCAAAGCCATGTTGCTCTGTTCTACTTTGACTACAATGAATTCTCTCAGGGGAGCCCTAAATCTAAGCTCCGGTTTTCCTCTCTCTCTCTCTCTCTCTATCCTTCACACTCTTCGTTCTCTGGAGGAGCGAAAGAGAGAATCCTGAAATCTCGCAGGGGGTGGACGGGCCGTGGAGGGGTCACATGTTCTCGTCTGAATATATAGGAGAGAGAGAGAGAGAGAGAGAGAGCGAGAGAAGTTGCTCAACAGTATAATCTATAATGAGCTGAAGGGCTGGCGAGAATTAGTGAACCCGTGAATTTCCCATTTTGTCCACGTCTCTTTTACTTAATTATTCTACTTGCCATCATTTACAAGACAAAATCCAGCCATTACATCAGTATATCTTAGGTGGACTTTTGCACATGACAGCCAACTCATCGCTCCTTATTTTTTGTTAACGGTATTATGTATCTGGTGCTAGACGATTAACTGCCCAACTTTCACCTGACTCTTCCATCGCCGTCCGATTGTAATATCCTAGGACGACGATGAACAAGTGCTTAAATAGTTCAGATCTCGATGCACGGTTAAAAACAGTGAGATGCATAGATGACCATCGATCATTGATCCTATATTCCTACCTACACTATCAAGTATCAACTACCTACCAAATTTGGTTCCCTCGTCAAACTTGCACACTTCGCGGACCCCAACGTACGATGGCTCTATTTTGCTGTCTTTCAACGATCTAATTTAGACTTAGGTGGCGTTCGCTAAATCTGAAGTTAAAGAAAAAAAAAAAAATAAACAAAAATGATGAAAGTAAAACAATATTATAAAAAATAGTACAAGAATAATAAAAAAATTAATAAATAATATTAAAATAATGATAAAATAGTAAAATAAATATATAAAAAGATCATTTAATAATATAAAATATAAAATATAATAGAGAGATTGGTAATTAATAAAATAATGTAAAAAATATAAAATAATAAAAAAATATAAATACTATAGTAAAAAGTAGTGTTTCCGAACCATCATTGACCTAGATGGTCAGACCATTTGTTCTGTCCAAACAACCGGTTCTATTTCACTCTCAACTCGATCCTTGACCAAAAACCGTTGATTTTGGTCAATGACCTGTTGACCCAAGTAGTTGAACCATCGACCCGTTTGACGTTTGAATCAGATGGTTGAATCATCAACCTAGAAAATGATGATCTGAATAGTTCCGATTCTAAATTGTTTTTAAAACCTTGGTAAAATGTATCATAAATATAATAAACAATAAATAATAAATAATGAATAATAATATAAAATAAATAGTATAAAAAAATAAGTTGTCGTGGGGTAGTAAAACCAAACTCACAAAAAGAATGTAAAGAAGAGAGGGGATAGAAAGAAAAAAGGGTTAAGAATAATTTAATAAATGTGCATAACACAAAATACCAAAAAGAATATATTCCCGTTATGTGGCTGAATGTTACGTGTGTATAGTTTTTATTTCAAGGAGTTCCAGGCTCTAATAACAAGTTTTTTAGAATCATAGTCGAACATTAATCTAAAACTTCATTTTTCCTACTTTTCTTAAATGTACCCTTAACTCTTCAAAACCTCCCAAGACTTCCTTGTCAGCTTGGTGGTATTCTAACTTTGGAGAAACAAACACATGAATCAAAAGACATTAGAAAAAGTTTAATTTATATAATGTATTAGTATGGTTGGTTTAAATGTTATATATTTAAGTAAAGATTCATTGGGTCAAGTCTGGTAAAAGTTATTTTCAATCACTTTATTTATAATATACAATGCGATAGTCATTTTTAGTTCATTGTATTAAATATATAATGTTTTCATCAATTTTAATTCATCCGGTCAGTTTGGTTTTAGTCAAAATGATCAAACTAAAATTGCTCCAACCTGGTCAGGTTTGGAAATTGCTGAACTGAAATCCACTATAAATACTAGAAAATTGGCCAACTCAAGTATTATATAAAATATAACTAATTATTAATTATTTAAAAGATTAAAATATTAAACAATTGTCTACTTTTATGTCTATTGTTTAGCTTTCACTTAACAAAGTCCGTGCCTCGCACGACCCCCACTAATTTGCTCTAAATCCGATGGAAAAGATTAATCCAAATCCAAATATTAATGAATTAAATTTGGATATGGGTAATATCCAAAAAATGGATATAGGTATATCCAAATCGATTTGATCCATTTGCCACAATAAGTGGAGTTTGAATCAGTCTGAATCACTTACCAATGAAATATGTTCCAACACCCTACCAACATGATTTAACACCATAAATCTTATACATGACAGGCCCCACTTATATGGTACCTCGCAGTCTCATGGTGAAATATGTGTGTCAAAAACATGTTTTATTGGCAAGAGATCAGAACTCAGGCAGTGGTGTTTGGTATCTAAGTGAGGCACCCAAGCTCAATCATTTTTTTGGGTAGAAAGTGGATGTAGTGGGCTTCCCTTTTACATCCAATCAGAACCCTCCCCCCATTTTTTTCTTGAACTTTTATTCAATTTGTAATGGGTTTCCCTTTACATGCGTGTAATAAATATCCTTCATAAGAGACTACACAAATAATAGAACACTTGTCACGAACTAAATGGAAGTGCAAAAAAAAAGGCATGCAAATCCGGACTAATTAATGACCCCTTGTGAGTCTAAATCTTCTAACAGCAAAAACCTCTAAGAATATAGAATCCAGCTGACCAATTATACATCAGAAAATATCTTCCATACATATATGTTAAATTCATGGGGAGATGTTCCCAATATATAGCTAAAGGCCATTGTGAATAGGGTTGTTAATAGGTCAGGCTTGGGTTGAGATAGGGTAGAATCAAAACTAACCCAACAAGAAATATCAAAGAACCAAAACCGAATTATACCCTATAGGGTTAATAATTTTAGACCCAGAATTGAATTGATCGGTTATTGGGACTAGACTTGTTCACGGACTGGGCTTCGAACCTAACTTTACACTGTTTTGGGCTTGGGCTTCGAGCTGAAGCCACTCAAATTTTGGCAAAAGCGAAGCTTGAGCCCGACCCATGAACAAGTCTACTTGGGACAATCAGGTATGACCCAATGGAACCGATTATAATAAACTTGTTGAAAACAGTATACATTTAATATATAATTTATTTAACATATTAACATATATTTTATTTAATATATTATACATTTAATATGTATATATGGCTCGGGTCAGGTCTACGTTAGTTTGAGAGTGAGTAGAACCAATTTCAAACCAATAATAATTTGGACAATAGATTAGGAACCAAAACCAACCCATCAGTACAAGTAGGGGTATAAACCAGTATCCAAATTCGAATTTGATTAGAAAATCTGATATCAGACGAATATTGAAAATTAATGTTTGAACTTGAATTCAATTAAATATTTGATTTTATTCAAATTCAACCAATTACTTATTTTTGTAATTAATAAATATATAAAATAAATATTTTATTTACATAAAGTATTTATATAACTTAATTATTATATAAAATATTTAAATGTTTTATATATTGTATATAATAATTAAATAATCGGCTAATTTCGAATATTTATCAAATTGAATCAGGTCATATCCGAATTTGACTAGTTAGATATTCAAATTATCAAAATTCAATTGATTAGGTTGAATCTCAAATTCAAAATTGGAATTTCAAATACCGTTGACACCCCTAAATACAAATCCTAAAACCAAAACCAACCCAATCGATTTGGGTCCATCAAGTCAGACCCAACCCATTGACAACCCTAATTGCAAAGCTTTTGTGAGGTTTTTTTAATGTTTGCTTTCTATATATCTTTCATATACATTATCTATCTATACTATTATAAAATATATACATGCCTTGGTTTGTGCATGTTATCTTTATTATTTACTTGTACACGTGCCCTTACATTAATATCATATAAAGCCGATATTTGACTTAATATTGCATATATATGCATAACATGTGATCTTTACACTAGTAGAGAATAAAGGAAAGATAAATGGGAGAGTAGATATGATTTTTTTTTTTGGGCCTTGACTAAGAGATTGTCTCCACCAAAAATTATAAGCATCTGATTTCTTTTTGTTTTTAATAAAAGCATCTTACGTAATACCATATATTATAGCAGCAATATGGTTATGTGTCTCTTTGTATGATTTTTCATATCATTTTCAAAATTATTGTAAAATTCAATCTATTGAACGTCTTTTCTCGTTTCCTTTTTTTTATATTTTTTTCCTTTATCTTTTTTACCCTACCAATTGACCAACTGCGCTACAGTTCATCTATCTGGTAACAAGTTAAATACAACTTAATTTTCTAGTTCAAATAATAATTGAAAAAAAAAAGCCAAGAAACCGTGACATGTGTCGTAATTAGTGCAGGTCACATTCATTTAGGTTGTCAATGTTAAACCAAATCCAAATGCTGTTTTGCTTTGTTAGAAAACAAGTATAAAGTTGAGGAAAAGTCATTAAACAATATTTCTGGATAATGGCAAGATCATATAGGGCTTATTGCTGTTTTGTATTGCAAACCTTATACTTAATTTGAGCTCTAATATTTTCATTTTTGTTAATGAAAAAAATATTTAATACTGGATGTTGGATTCCAAAGAAAATACTTAGGTATAGTTGCTAGTGGTTCTCAAACAAAATACCTATGTAGTTACTTTTGATCAAAATGTTTATATTTAAAATTTGTTTTCATATGAATCACTAGCTAAAACCCTTACAATTTCTTTTTTGAAATTGATTTATTTTCCAAATTTATGCTTTATATCAATCATTCAAAGGTAAATCTTCAACTTTAAATTATCTGTTTTTTTTTTGTTTATAAAATTTGTATTATTGTTTTTGTAGAAACCAGCCTTAATAGTAATTGCTTGGCTATTTTGAACATTTTGTGCCTCTTTTTAGAAAATTCTAATAGAGGGGGTCTACTAGCAACTGTATCAAAAAGTTTAGGGGAGGAGATTGCAATTATCAAACTTTAGGGGAAGTTTCAACAATTTATCCTTATTTTTTACAATGTTTACAATTTCCAAAAAATAAAAGTAAAATAAAAATTAAAAAAAATGGAACTATGCAACCTCCTTATCCCAAAAAATCTCTGCATTTATCTAAACAATAGGAAACTACACTTGTTCTAAGGAGTTCAAAAAAAAAGAGGAAATGCACTTCCATATTGG